TGGGGGCCTCATAGCCTAGCGGTCTTATTAAGTGGCAGCTAGATGAGGGGTATTGGGTTCGATTCCCGGTTCGAGGGCAAGTTTTAATTTAATTTAATCTCGGCCTTTGGGAAGGTTGTGCGGTACCGGGAGAGTGCCTAGTACATGGAGGACATGGTCGAATTTCTAAGGCAAAAAGCACGAATTATAAAAATCTTATACTTGACGCTGGCTAATGCGCAAACCGTGCCAGAGCCATAAAAAAAAAGTACAAATTTTCATCGAATTCTAGATAGTATGAGGAGTATAAAACTCAATTAAAAATTGAATAAGATATAATAGATTCGAAGTTGCACAACAGAAATAAGCGCTTGTGTGCGTTTACCAAATGTCAATAGTTTTAACATGAAATATATTATTTAAAAATGTTTTTATTGTAAATAAATTTGTATAAGCTACAATATCTTAAACGAAAAGCTCTGCAGTATGTTGTGATGCCAACTCTACCATATGGCTGCCAAATCCGGTAGTTATAACATAGTAAACAATATAAATGTTTTCAAAGAGCTACAGAGAGTGAGCTTAATATCAAGGGCACGGAAAGAAGACTAAACATAGATATTAAAAAATAACTAAGGTTGACTTGGCATGTAGACTAAAGTGGAAGTGGGTCGTATATATCGCAAGAGCTATAATTGACATCCACGCATCGGGACGATACCGCGAGGACGGCTGTAATGGTGTCATTCCGATTACTTGGAGAACATGGCCGGCGGCTCATGGATCCGGCAAGGCCACGAAAGGGAACTTTGGAAGGGCATGGCGGAAGCCAGTTACCATGGGATATATCGGGGATATTCTTACACTAAATTTAACATAAATATATATTATAATTATATAAGTTGTTAAAATTATAGGAAAGTCTTAATTTTTACACGCTTTATATTAGCTTCACCTGTATGTATGTATGTATGTATGTATGTAACCGACTCCTTCGGACTCGATTTTGACCCACATTAAACGGACAGATTTAATTCAAACTTTGTACACTTATAAAGAATCAGCGACAATATAATAATTTCATAAGTTTATCTCGAAAAAAAAAGGGTCCGTGTACTTATGTACGCGCGTAAGAAGTTATACTTCTTTGGCAATATTAAAAATAGTTTGGCTTTGTTCCACCTCCAGTTTTTGATATTTCACAGCGATAAGATGAAAACTCTTTTTTTGTATTCAATTTAGTGCAGTTACACTGATTCATCAATTGTTTTTTGTCTCTTTTCCTTATATTTGCTAGATAAAATCAGAAAAATTACATGTTTTGATTAAACAATGTGGTTAATTTTTTAATCAAAACATTACTCGATAATAATAATAATACATACGGATAGTTAACCTCAATTGTATTGAAGCACTTAGGAAGGTTGATGAGCACAGTTTTTTCACAAATATTAATTAGTATTGGTTTAAATATTCAATTTAAATCACTTCTGATTATAATTCAAAAAGCATCGCTAAATTTCTTTGAAAAAATAATTAAAACTCCTTTATTTGTTTAAAAGGTAAATGACAAATGTCATTATGGTCATTCAAAATTGTTGGCATACGAACTTCACGCATATTCTATTTCTTTTTACTTGTAGATTGTCTTATTCCTATCTCGCTCGCGCACGCTATAATCACACTCCTAATTTTGTGTCACGGGTGCGCGCGCATTATAAAATTTCACTCTCATAAATTTTTCATAACGCGCCTAAAGAAGTATAACTTCAAAAAATGAAATTTTTTTTAAGTCCACAAAGCAATACGATTAAATTGAGACAACACGTATTGCTGCTAGGACTAAAAAGTGGAAAATAAATATAGTTTAAAAAAACTAAAAAACACGCTTTTATAGTTCATCAAATTAGGAATTATTTTTCACTTTTTAGTTTGATGTGCTTTAAAAGCGTGTTTTTTAGTTTTTTTAAACTATATTTATTTTCCACTTTTTACTATTAAGCTACAGTATTTACCCGCCTAAGTGCACCAAGGACGTTCTCATTTAAACCTTAAAGAGTTTTCTAACAAAACTTAAGCATGTTTAAGGCTATATCCCTCGCGAGGCCCTGACCTCTGTCGCCATACATAATTTAAGAGCTGCGGATGTGGTAATTACAGGTACGTGTCCTTTTGGAATATTGAATTAGTTTGTAAACGCCCCGTGTTTTAGCCGTGATTAAATTATGAACACGCGTTAAATGATAATGGCATTTCACGAAATTTGCACAAGTGAAAGATTTATTGTTAATATTCAAAATAGCATTAAACACTTTATTAAGTATTAAGTAAGTTCTGTATCCCGGGTAAGGACACATACAGTATACAGAACAGAAAAAGAAAAGTGTCGCATGTATAATACCAAGAAGAATGTAGTTAGTCGTGATATCAACCTTAAAGACAGGCATTCTAATCTAGGCTGAGCAGTAATTGACTTTCTGACACAATTAGCACGTACTCAGAGAAAAATACCATCTTGCGCGCCACTTAAAGCTGAAATTTTGCGAACTTAAAAAGCGACCAAGGCTGATAACCGACTTGATTATCTTTTATATATTATTGTTTTTATTTAAATTCCACTTTGTTATACAACGACTTCACGTAAAATTATTCACTGGAAATTACCTTACAACATTTTATAAAGAACTTAGATCCTATTTTATACATACATTATTTTGCTTTCAATTCTTAATAAAACAACTCGTTTTGTGATGGAAGTAAATGGGAAAACAGAATTCTAAAACTAGTTACCAAAACCCATTATAAATTCTCGAAATAACTATGATTTAACAATTCAGCTTTAATAATTAAAACATAATAAACAAGAATGTTCAGTAAAAGCAGAAGGCGATGCCAACTATGCGCCTTGTGTATAGAATGCTTTGTGCTTCACAGGATTTTCTACATTGAAGATAAACATGTCATTTAGAAATTTGCTTTTATCTAAAATGTGATATAATATTATAACAAAAGAATGAGTTGATTAAACACGCGTATCTGAAGAACTTAACGAATTGAAAATTTGTTTTTAACTTCAAAAATCCCGAAGAAAGACGTTTTTTTCACACTATGACAGAATTAAGGTGTAAAGCACACACAGTAAATTTAAATTTGATATACCTTTTTCTAAAAACATATGTATAGGGAAATATATGTATAAAAGTTTAAAATCTTAAATATCGTTTAAAAATAACAATAATCCTATGGTAGGTTAATTAACAATAAACTGAAACTAATTTTATAAGATTGTCTAAATTACATTATAAAAAAAATCGAGCACCACTCAAAAACTGGTTCATCCCAAAAATTAGCCGACATCACTTCAACAGAAATTGATTTACGCTGTATTTTTTCGAAAACATTAATCACGGCACAGTTAATTAATCACGGGGCGCTGTCGATAGCAAGCCTGACCCCGACCCACCCTCCAGTTACGAAGAAATTAGGATTTTGTTCAGCCGCATGGCCTACTAAGGGGACACAAACCAGTTTTTTCTACTGTGTTTACGAACTACGTTCTAATATCTTCTAGAAAATTCTCTTTTAATATGGTCTTTGTTTTACGCACGTATATATTTAAAAAGTCACTTTAACCATGCTTGCTTTAAGCACCGATGTATGAATTTGCGTCTATATATTCTATATTTATTTTAATATTTCTTGTGTGATATATTAAAGACAATATCTAATAACTTGTGCAAACGTTGGGTTTGTTTTCCGACGAGACTTCAATGTGGCTCAAAAAATTTTTGGTTAAATAGATCTCCTGGTATCATATGTATATGTATAACGTATATGTATTTAATCTAAGGTTAAATATTATTATAAATCTAAGTCTAATAGAAACAAAAACTCAGAATTCCACTTAAAAGAAATCCAATATGGACTTTATATTTTTTGGTATTTTCAAAATTTTTAACAAAATCCCATTTTATTTCATACATAATAAATATATTTTCACCGTGTAGCAAAAACATAAGTCTATATATTTAAAAAAACCTAATTTACTTCTATATTATCGAAGGACAATGACAAGGACTTCTATGTTTTAAAAATGAAGGTTAATTATGTGATAACTCTATCAATAATTAAAAAATAAATAAGATAGCATAGTACCACTAGCAAATCATTAATTGTTATCACATAAGAACTATTATCGACAAGTTATCGGCTTCCGAAACATATTCAACATGTTTTTAGGAGTTTAACAATAGCAGTCTTAATTTTAATCTTAATCTTCTGATAATACATGTAGGGATAATCATAACTACGTTAGATACTTGAAATTGTTAACATTTTTTGTCGTAATTATTATGTATGTGAGAGCATGTGAGCATTAAATAAAATTTACTTTTTGAGATTTTAGAACAAAACCGGTATAAATAGTGCATTATATTTTATTAATTCACATTCCACTATTACTGTTGTTTATATCACAGTTATGTGAATTGTATTGAATAGTTTTCTTCGTATTACGCAAAAACTTTATCAACAAATTTTTAATAACTAGTTGTAACAATAAATAATATAAAAAATACCATGGTTATGTTTAGCATTTTTGTGCTAGCATTTTAAATAAAAGTTAATATTATTCAATCTCGTATATTAAAATTTCATTTTGTCTATCTACCATGACGTCGTAGGCGAGTAGTGTTAGCTTGAGAAATGATTTCATTCATTTTATTAAAATTAACCAAGTATGTATAGATATTATTCCGGGATATAACAGGCCTACGTGCAGTAATAAGTTTAATCACCAGGAAAATAATATCGTCTCAAACATATCTGGTGAAAGCGTAGAGAGAGGTAGCCTTAAGATGGAAGATAAAGGACTGCTTGGTCTAAAACTCGAATACGTCCTAATAATAAGTCAAATATCAAAACATACTATACTATATTTTTCACATATCATCATCATACGCAATCTTGATAATAACAAATGATGTAAGCTGGGATATGAAACGCGTGTGGTGTCCGCAGTTATGACTTCGACCGCTAAGGTTTTGGGTGTGACGGCTATCATCGTCGTGGGGGTCGGCTTGATTGCAGGTAAAGTAAAAAATCATATCTAATACTTACAACTAATGTAATAAATTTTCCTCTTAATGTGTAATGAAACGATGACAATTTTAAGCTTAAAAATATCAATACCATTGTATCAAATACACTCTTGAAAACATATTGATTTATAAAAAAATACTTATTGATTTAAGTTTAGATTTATGTTTGATATTATAAACAGAGGATGTTGAAATATTACCCAGTAAGTACCGTACCATTTAAGTAGTTTACTACATCCGACAATTTAAGATAATAAAACAATTTTAGAATAATGCCAATTTAATATTTAAGTTTCCTACACTCATTTGAACGGTTCAGTTCTGAAACCATGATTTCGACGTTAGTTTTATGTTAGTTATTTTTTCAGTTTTTATTTTGAAATTTTAAATATTTGAAAAGTCTGTTTGTCTATCTTGCTTAGGAAACGAAATGGCTTACTTGTCTATGACTAGCCTATGCCAAGATTTATATGCATTCTTTGTGGTAATGATTAAATCTCATATATAGGTGGAATAACATGGGCGGTCCTGGCAACGAGAGGATCCGACGTTCCCCCACCAGAATTAATTCCTTTGGAGTGGTGGCAACACTGTACTCTATATCAGATCTACCCTAGATCCTTCAAAGACAGCGATGGAGATGGTATCGGTGATTTAAAAGGTATGTGACAAATCCCGTAAGAAATATAATATGTTTTAAAACTATTGAGTCATATATATAATTATAATACATTAAATATATATATTCCTATATTATATGTTTCACGAAAGAAACGACTAATTAATGTGATAAAACAATAAGTTAATATAGTTTATAAAAAATGCAAAGTTTAAAGAATTAATTGTTTAATTCAGAAAACAAGGTTCCATAACAAGTTAGTAAAGTTAAAAGAATTAATAAAGAATTTACCAAGGCAAAAGGTGTGAGCAATGGCGCTCGCCAAAACTGTCCAGTTAGTTTAAAAGCTAAATAAAAAACCTCACGGCTCCAAATAAAACACCCATCGGCAATCTGTCATTTTCTTTTCGGGATGAAAAATGTACTGTTTATTACGCTTTCGAAGCTAAATCGCTTTCTGCTGTATTTTTTCTATATACAAAGTGGGTATAATGAAAACGAACGTGATGGACACTCACTGTGGACGCCCTCTGCCCCATCTAGGGGTTATGGGACATTAAGTCAAGTAAAGTAAGTAAAGGGGTATAAAGCTATTTTTACCCGACTTCAGAAGGTTTCTTTATTCGACCGTATATGATTTTGTTTGTTCGCGGATAACTTCGTCGTTTCTGAACCGATTTTAATCATTCTTTTTTTAAATCGGTACACGGTGGACACTAAACACCTGGATCTGATGATGCCGAAGGGATCAATAGAAAATCTGTTAAAAATAAAAAATCTATAAAATGATAATTTGGAAAGACGATTTTTTTTTGTTTAAAATTATTATAGTATTTCCTAGAAATTGAAAATATCCGTGTGTTATAAAAAAATCGATTAAGGCAATATTTTATAAATGTCGAATTTAAACACTTGCAAATAAATAGGTGTATATAATAATCAAGCTTTGATAAATGTATTTAGTTTAGTGAACTTATGATATAATTTTTTTTATAACAAGGCTTCACAAAACCGCAGCCATTATTATCGAACACAATGACTTTATAATGATCAACATCCTTCACAAACAGGCACCAAACAAATTATGATTCAAGTCATAGCAATTTTAATAATAGTTAGGTGGGTTAAGTGGAAAAATTAGACGACTGGTCTCTGAAGTGTGAAATAATTCTCCCTTTTAAATAATAACGTAACGCCATATTCTCAAATGTAACTTCCAAACGTAATATTCAATAATAATATAGACTTTAGTTGGGATGACAGCTGTGTCATATTAGCATGCGAAATATAATTAATATCAATTCAATTGTGTAAAATATAAAATATGGAAATATTGGTCTATATGAATGAGCATATATTTTATTTTGTACGTATTTTTTTTATAGGAGACATTTATTCTATTAGACACGTATGAACTGCTCTGTTTTCAAGTGCAAAATACTTTTTAATTTTTCAGGAATTATAAGTGAGCTGCCCCTCTTCGTTGAGGCGGGAGTAGACGCAATCTGGATGTCTCCAATATTCGAGTCCCCAATGGTGGACTTTGGTTATGACATCAGTAACTTCTACAACATTCATTATGAATATGGCACTATGGAAGACTTTAGAGAATTACTAAAGAAAGCACACGAACTTGGTAATAAAAAAAATACTAATTTATATTTATAGATCGCCATTTAGTTCTTATTGTATCGTATTTCTTGAGTAAATAACAACATGCTAAAATATGTTTTAAATAAATAACTGCGTCGATCAAACAAAAACTCATTACATTTAACGTTTTTCAAATAATTAATCGTAGTTGGAGTTTAATGAAAAAACGAATAATAACATCGCATGAAAGTATATGTTAGATAATATTGTTGAAAAACTTTTCAAACAACACAATAGCTGATTGTAATCATAATTTAATACAAAACTTGAAAATAACAATAAATCAAACATTCTAGATAACAATCGAAGCCGGTTATCAGACGTACCAGGAATTTATAATCAAAATTCAGAAGCTTCGCAAAGCCAGACTTAGATAAACATTATACAAAACACATAATATATATAATTATTATATGTACAACATTTGTACTATTATTATACTATCACCAAATAATGATTGCTTCGTCTATGAAGGATATTCAATAAAACTGCTAGAGTCCGTTTAGGATAATAAGAGGACAAATTTGCATTACTGTGTATTTCATTAAATTGTGTAATTCAACATCATATATTGTGTATTTCCCTATAATATTGTAATTTATATGCCTGCCTTCAGTGGACTTATTAAAAAGCCGATAATTTAGTCAGATAATCATTGTAATTCAATTAGATTTATGGAATTGTAAAATGTGCATCGTAATTAATACTTAACATAAATATATTACCTGTCTTTCTTAAAAAACTCATACACCATAGTATAAATTACACACATATATTTTCAGGAATCAAAGTGCTATTAGATTTTGTTCCAAATCATGCAAGTAATGAGTCTGAATACTTTATCAATTCTGAAGCGAGAGTACCGGGTTATGAAGATTTCTTCGTATGGGCTGATGGTATCGACGATCCCAATGACCCAACTAACAAACTTCCACCGTCTAACTGGGTATGACTTCATTTTATAAAGGCCGCATAGACTTTAAATTTATGGAAAAAAATAATGGTACAATTTGGTTGTCTTGAGTAATTAATTAAATGTCCTATTGTATGCTTAGAGTATCTTTAGTAGATATACATAATATGCAGCAGTGGCTATTCTGTAAAAAACCACGACCACCATAAATAAACATACGAAAATGAAACTGCCGCCGCTAGGCATTGCGGTACTTCTCTGATAGCGCGTTTATTCCAGGTAAGCCAATTTGGAGGCTCGGCATGGGAGTGGAGCCAACGCCGCCAGCAATTCTACTTGCATCAGTTTGCCGTACAGCAAGCGGACTTTAACTTTCGCAATCAGGCGGTTAGGGATGAAATGTTTAAAATTATGAAATTCTGGTTAGATGAAGGGGCTGATGGGTTTAGAGTCGATGCTTTACCTTACCTGATCGAGGCTGACCCGGCTGATCACAACGGACGATATCCTGACGATCCACTTAGTGGAAGGATAGAATTTGAATCTCACCAACTTGGATACACCATACCGCTATATACTAAGGATCTGATCGAACTCTACGATGTTGTGTATGAATGGAGATCTTTCGTGGATCGTTATCTTGAAGAAAGTGGCGGCGATACACGGTGAGTTGGAATTATAACGAGATGGCTTCTTTGTATGACTTTCTTTTGTGAAGTTCACTTGGAATCAATTTTATACTTAAAGCGGTTGGGAATGTATGGATTTTTTTGAAAGTGTATAAACGTTTTAAATTTAGGTCACAATTGTAAATTAGTAGCACCGGTTTGAATGTAATTAAATTCTCTTACAGGGTTCTTTTCTCAGAAGGCTACGCTAATGTTTCTATGACGATGTTGTACTATGGTAACGAGCAAGGCAGCGTCGGAGCCCATTTTCCCTTCAATTTTGACTTTATCACCGATCTTTCCTCAAAATCTACAGCCAGAGACTTTGTGTATGTCATTCTTAAGTGGCTCACATATATGCCTTATGGAGGTGTTCCTAATTGGGTGGTATGTTCTTCTTTGTTCTAGTTGAGAATCTCTCTCTCACTCTCTGAGAGTCTCCATAGCATAGATAATTTAATAACAATAATAATAGTTAGGTATTTAAAATTAGTTCCAAAACATAATTATAATACATTTACCTATAAGCTTTACGCTATAATTTTTTTTAAAAAAATTTTCTTTAGTTTACTATATTGGCTTAGATTTTGTTTTAATTTCAATACTCGCATCAAATACATTAGTATATATATTTTAACTAGCCTACCGGCCAAGCGTTGCTGTGGCTAAGGAGTTTTGTTATATTACATAGTAGCAAACTATTCAAGGGAAACGGTAGGAGAACACCAGTGCATGGGGACCACCATGCTTTTTGGTGGTGGTATGCCATTAAATTGTAGCTTATGTGAAACGTGGGTACTTTCAACGCAGCGCCATCTGTTAGAATTGTGACTATCAAATAATAAACAAATATTTTGTAATGCAATAATATTGCGGATATAAATTGAAATGTAAACAATCCTATCTTTTAAGTTAGATCAAACTGCACACGGTGTGCAAATTTAATTTAAAATCGGTTAAGTAGTTTAGGAGTCCATCGCGGACAAACAACGTGACACGTGATTTATATATATTTTATTATACCTACACAAATACTTATAACTATTGAATGATTTCAGTTTGCAAATCATTAAATAGTTATCTAATTATAATATGTATATATTGGCTGAGTTTTTGTTTAAATTTCAACACTCGTATCAAATACATACTACAAAATAACTTATAACTATTGAATGATTTCAGTTTGCAAATCATTTTAATAGTTATCTGATTATAATATGTATATATTGGCTGAGTTTTTGTTTAAATTTCAACACTCGTTATCAAATACATACTACACAATAACTTATAACTATTGAATGATTTCAGTTTGGAAATCATTTTAATAGTTATCTGATTATAATATGTATATATTGGCTGAGTTTTGTTGTTTAAATTTCAACACTCGTATCAAATACATACTACAAAATAACTTATAACTATTGAATGATTTCAGTTTGCAAATCATTTAATAGTTATCTGATTATAATATGTATATATTGGCTGAGTTTTTTGTTTAAATTTCAACACTCGTATCAAATACATACTACAAAATAACTTATAACTATTGAATGATTTCAGTTTGCAAATCATTAAATAGTTATCTAATTATAATATGTGTATATCGGCTTAGTTTTTTTTTAAATTTCAACACTCGTATCAAATACATACTACACAATAACTTATAACTATTGAATGATTTCAGTTTGGAAATCATTTAATAGTTATCTGATTATAATATGTGTATATCGGCTTAGATTTTTTTTACATTTCAACACTCGTATCAAATACATACTACACAATAACTTATAACTATTGAATGATTTCAGTTTGGAAATCATGACAACAATCGTATGCCGACTCGGTTCCGTGAGAGTATGGTGGATGGACTGAATTCGCTGAATATGCTGTTACCAGGAGTTGCCGTCACATACCAAGGCGAAGAAATTGGTAATACATTTTTTTTTTTATAGAACAGGGGGCAAGTGGGCAGGAGGCTCATCTGATGTTAAGTGATACCGTCGCACATGGACACTCTCAATGCCAGAGGGCTCGTGGGTGCGTTGCCGGCCTTTAAAGCCTTCATTAATTATATAAGTCGCTCCTGTTTCCCAAAAAGGTTAGTCAGGGACCACAGAAATCACCTTGCTAAGGTTCCTACATACCATTCCTTTCTATCACTTACATAATATTGACAAAACACGACCGTTGGCTAATACAATTACCAACAATCACTAACTAAACATTACCAATATACTGATTTTCTCATTTGGAATGACACATTCGCATATAACGTAAAGGAAAAATATCTCGTACCATGGGCCTATTTACCGACACCCTGATATTCGGTTTTTTTAGGTATGAAAGATGGCTACGTAAGCTGGGAAGATACTGTGGATGTGGAAGCCATTAATAGAGGTGACAATGAAACCTATATGCTGTACTCTCGGGACCCGGCAAGAACTCCCTACCACTGGAACAATCTAACCAACGCTGGTTTCAGTACTGCAGAGAAAACTTGGCTTCCGGTCGCTGAAGATTATCCAGTATTAAATCTAGCATTACAGAAAGTGGCAGAACGCAGTCATTTCAAGGTACTATTTACATTACGCAATTCAATGGCCGTCATTAATTGACTTCAAAAAAGGAGGTCAATATGACCTGTATGTAAGCCATATTATTAAAGTTAAATAATATTTGATATGATGTTTAATAAAGGCTTCTAAACCCGTGTGCTACAATTTATAAGTGTATCAATGTATGTTATCCATTTTACTGGAAACTAAAACTCATAGCAATAGCTCTTATTGATTTAAATGGTTTAGGTTTTAGAAAAATATATAACACAGGGAACAGTCAAAGTTTCATTAAAATCGGTTCAGTAGTTTCTGAGATATAAATACCGACGCATTTCTGGAGTGGACATGTATACTATAAAAACCTTAGAGGAATGGCACATTCGGTGATCGAATATCAACCGGAATCGCGGTCGCCTAACCACGATACTACCAGCAGACCTTGTTTAAGAAAATAAAGTCCCCTTTTAGGAAAGGGGAGATTTGACACTATGTTTAGTTTCTCGGGCACAGATCTGTCTGATCTCGTGATAGATAGGCTATTAGGGGTCCAATGTTTTTAAAAAACCCTTGAATGGTAACTAATCCACCAGAAATAGTTATATTTCCGCAATAGAATTTAAAACTTCTTTTTAATTTACCAACATCGTGTTCTTAATTAAGAAAAATATTACAGGTCTACCAAGCATTGACTGACCTCAGGAGAAAAGAGAGATCCCTCTCCCATGGTGATTACTCCATCAGAGCCCTCTCTGACAGTACTTTTTACTTAGTTCGGTATCTACCTAGCTATGATACTATCGTTCTAGTATTTAATGTGGCAGAAACAAGTGATACTGTAGATTTGAGCAGAATACCAAATATGTCCCTACCGTCTACTGTGTATGTCTCTAGCGTACATTCTACAAGGCTCAGTGGGTAAGTTCAATCAATAGAATAAATTCTCAAGCATATTTCAATGTTCTTACAATGGTCATGGTTCTCTCTATACAATGGTCATAAATAGGGCCGGATTTGATGTCTGGAGGCCTCGGGGCAACAAAGTAGTGGCGGCGCTCCCAAATTATTTTTCAAATAAATGAAAGAAATTTTTCAGTCATTACCAAGTAAATTCTTTTAGTATTTAGAAAACATGTAAAAATATATCAAAAGAAAACACTGGTAGTGTTTACTAGTCGGAATTTAAAACATTTTTTTTTTCAAAGTCTCTATTGTGTCGGCCCCTCTTTTGTGGAGGCCCTGGGTCTTTCGGCCCGGTTGCTCTTCCCTAAATCCGACCCTGGTAATCGCTATAATTTATTTATTGGTCAGCTAACAACAGTTACTACAACGTAACTTAAAAATCTTGCATAGAAACACGTAAAAGTAGTAAAGTACACATTAAAAGCTAACACTGCATGCATTATAAAATAAAGTAGATTTTAATATAAATATGAAAAGCAAATTACGCTTAGTTACAATAATTATATACAAGTTAATGTGATATTAATTTTGTAAGCTAATAAGAATAAGATGGAACTGCGACAAGGAAAGAGAACAAGATATATCGCGATATATAATCGTTAACTACTAAGTTAAGTTATATATAAGTAGTATTAAACGTACGTTTTAATCATTAATATTTTATTTTCAGCTCCAACATAAGTGACAAACATTTAACTCTAACAGCGGGGGAAGCGATCGTTTTTAAGTCCCAACCTATATAAATCAACAATAGTTAATAACAATCATATATGAATTAAACAAATTTTTAGCAATTACTATATTAATTTGTAAATAATGTAAATAGTATGTATTAAGTTATTTAATAAATTGTATGTATATTTTGTGTTTTATTAGCAATTGGTATTTTGTATAGAAACTTGCGTTTGATATAACAAAATTAAAGGCGTTTATATTTGCAGATTTCATGCAAAATAAATGAATAATATAAGTTAAAAAGGTGCAATCATATTTTTTTTTTAATCAGGGGTTTTAATTTTATCTTTTACTTGGCATACGGCGTCTAAGTTGAATAGTAAGATTACATAAATCTCATACTAATATTAAAACATCTCCTTTGCTTAAGACTGGTAACTATCACTAAGTAAGATTGTTTAGTGCGTATTTCGTCATGGAAGTGAGAGTTGAAAATTGTGCCATTCACTCTTCCACTAAGAAAGTTCAGCACTTTCTGTTTGTCGTGATCAAGAAATATTTGTCAATTGCAATAGCCCTGCTGATTCATGTAAATTTTATGTAACCGTGGGTCTAGATTATTTTGGCTACAGGTCAACATGCAAAAGGCACAATCTAGGCGGTGTAACACATAAATAGATGGTTGAGGTATAAAATTGATATTTCGTGCGATAGGAGTGGTGGGCAAAATGCCCAGAACGTTGGCAACCCCAGTGGTGCACTCCTAAATTACAACCATCGTAAATATATATTTGTGTTTACATAAATTAATTCTCATTTTTAAATGTAGAAAGAAGTACGATGTCGAATAAATTATTATCTGCACGGTATGCAAAAAAACATGTTTTTGCTCATTGTTGAGGTGACGAATTTGAAATGCTACTTTAGGTTTTTCATTATACAGTTTTTAAAAGGTTTTAAGAATGGTGACGAATATTTTATTGTTGGGTGAGGTTAGGTTAGATATGCGCGGCAGTAAGTATTATTTTTTTATATACTGAAGAATCTATGTAACTGAAACATTCGAAAATGCTTATAAATAACCAGTCATTAAAACTCTGATAACATTATCTATACACAATAAAGTTGTGATAATCTAGTACGTTATATTCACATTTAAAAAACTATACAAAAATATTTAAAGTTTTACTTACTTAACTATTCGCATAAAAAGTAACTCGGTTGCACTTTTGGAGTAATTATTTTTATTTTACTTGGTATTATACAAAATAGTACGAAATATATATTTCCTCAATTTTTAAGTTGGTCAAAATTGTATTCCAAGTAGATTCCACCTTTGTCATTGTTATTTACAGATACTTGAAATCTATCTATCTAGATCATTCTTTTTATCTTTATAATGCAATTGCACAATATAAAAAGATACTTTGTTTATGGCTTTTTATACTATTGATTGTAACTAAGCACTTCTCAATCGAAATGCCGCCTGCGAAGTTGCTGGGGATCTCTCTTGTGGTCGTCATAGCTCTGGGAGCGGTTATTGGAAGTTTGACATGGGCATTCCTTACTACTAGAGGTCCGGACCCTCCAGATCTAAAGCCCAAGGACTGGTGGGAACACACTGTTATATACCAGATTTACCCTCGGTCCTTTAAAGACAGCAATGGAGATGGAATCGGTGATCTAAGAGGTAATTATTTAAAGCATGGTCCTCTTTTTTAAATAAATGTTTTTTTTAATAATGTTAACCTATGATGGGTTAACATTATTTATGATTGATGCTTTTTAATATTTTTAAGAACAAACCTACGTCCGAGAAACATAACGTAGAAACTCAGCAGTACTACAATTTTGAAGTAAGAACTGACGCAATTTATTACCCAACGTTCGTTCAAAAAATCTTTTACGCAAATGTAAAAGAAAAATCCTTACGTATGCTTCAGTATACATAAGCTAAGCCAAGTTTATATGCATTATTATCTTTTCCAGGAATCACTTCAAAGCTAGAACATTTTGTTGAGGCTGGAGTGGGTGCAATATGGATGTCCCCGGTTTTTGTATCACCCATGGTGGATTTTGGGTATGACATCAGTGACTTTTACAATATTCAAGACGAATACGGAACTATGGATGATTTTAATGAACTCATTGAAAAAGCACACGCGCTAGGTTGGTTACTGACAAAAAGATATGTACTTCCAACCTATCAAAATTATTCATGTTTTTCATTTCAACAGATATAAAAGTTCTTCTTGACTACGTCCCAAACCACGCTAGTAATGAGTCACTTTATTTCGTCCGTTCTGAAGCTAGAGAACCCGCTTATGAGAATTATTTTATCTGGGCAGATCCTGTGATTATAAATAATACAAGGACTGTTCCTTCGAATTGGGTATGGTATTTTTATCAGCTTTTGTTTCCTCTTAACAGCTTTAAGTAGTAGTTAATCTGACTTTACTGAAATAATACGGTGTACATTACAAAATCAGTTTATTATCAGATAAGTCAGTTTGGTGGATCTGTCTGGGAATGGAGTGAAGCAAGACAGCAGTATTATTTGCACCAATTTGCGAAAGAACAAGTAGATTTCAACTTCAGAGAACCAGCCGTAAGAGAGGAAATGATTAATATTATGAAGTTCTGGTTTGAAAAAGGAGTCGATGGATTCAGATTGGATGCCCTTCCTCATCTTTTTGAAGCAGATCCTAATAACTATGGAGGTATATATCCCGACGAACCTTTGAGTGGGAACATGTACTTAAGGCCTGACCAAGCGGGATATACAACTCAGGAATTTGTTAGGGATCAAATGGAGCTGTATGATGTTGTATACGAGTGGAGAGCTTTTGCAGATAAATGGAAGGAAGACAATACTGCCGACACAAAGTAAGATGATTTTGCCTTTTATATCTCTTCATTTTGTATGCATTTGGATTTGACAAAGATTTTGTATTTTACACGTATTTTGACAGTAAAATATGTCTTAGGCTCACTAGAAATAATTAAACGTAGCTGATACTCTTATTTTATTTCATATAGTTTATTTTTAAACATAATATTTACGAATAAACACCGATACTGTACGCGCCTATATTTGAAAAGAATATAAGCACGTTCCGAACGCAACATTTACAAATAACAGAAGTAATATCGTGTTGACATAATCAAGCATATGCTTTATACTTGTGTAATTACAGAATACTATTAGCGGAGGCGTATGCAAATATCACGATGACGATGTTGTACTACGGCGACGAACAAGGCAGGCGCGGATCACATTTCCCGTTCAATTTCGACTTCATCACGAGTCTCTCCGCTGAGTCTAACGCTCGGGACTTCGTTTATGTAATCAAACGTTGGCTCACGTACATGCCTTCGGGACAAGTTGCTAATTGGGTCGTAAGTATTGCTTTGATACTCGACTTTTGAGACTTCAAATTGAAAATCCACATTCAAGCTACTTTAATCCTTCAGAACGAGAGCAGCAATTTAGTTTTAGAATCCAGATATTTTATGCACTTTAAAGTTAAATTTACAGTTGCAAAGTTTTCTTGTTGGATTAAACTATTTTTTTCACGCTCAGTTTGGCAATCACGATCAAAAACGGATGGCGTCTAGATTCAGAACAGACATGGTTGATGGACTTAATTCGTTAAACATGATGCTGCCAGGAGTAGCAATAACATATCAAGGAGAAGAAATAGGTATGAAAGATGGCTTTGTCAGTTGGGAGGATACGGTGGACGTCCAGGCATGTAATCAGGCCAATGAGGACAACTACTTGGATTTTTCCCGGGACCCGGCAAGGACTCCATACCATTGGGACAACTCATCAAAAGCAGGTTTCACCACTGGACTAAATACATGGTTGCCTATCGCAACGGACTATCAAGAAGTCAACCTTCAAGCTCAAAAAGAATCCGCAAAAAGCCACTTTAAGGTAAAAAACGTAATTAATATCTCTCTCTTTTATCTCTGAAATTAAAACGTAAGCTCTTCAAGCACTGGCCTATTTCTGGTTCCATCTTTTAGGCAGTCTGAGTCATTCTTCGTATACAATGTCGTTGAAGGACTCATTGTAGCAGTTTTTATAGTTCTATCAGTATAGTTGTAAAAGTCTAATACTACTAATAAACTTATCAATACTTTAAAACAATAAATATACAATTTAATCTGTTATTATCGGAACTAATGTAATATGTATTCAACTAGGTATACAAAACGTTAACATCGCTTCGCAAGGAGCCAGCCTTGTCCCACGGGAAGTATTTCATCCAGGCTTTAAGTGAAAACAGCTTGGTTCTGGTTCGCTACCTGATTACCCACGACACGTATGCTTTACTCTTTAATGTGGGTTCAAGCAATGATACAGTCGACATCTCCAATATCAATTACTTCTCAGCGCCACTCAAAGTACATACTTCGAGTATTCATTCTAGCCGAGATGTGGGGTAAGAAATGCGTTGTGGGTGTGATGTATATATACTCCATAATCTTCTAATAGACTTAAGTATATAATTATTTCATCAGTTATTGCGGTACGATAAAATTTAAACTTTATAAAATAAACTGCTGAAATTGCACTTAAGTAGTTTACAATATTTAATTTTTTTGGGAAAAGATTAAAATCAATAAAAATTAACATAACAAACATAATGAACGATCTAAATATCTCCCAATAACTAAACTTTTAAAAACGATTTGTTATCTAAAATATCCAAGACAAAATTACTTTTAAGTCCCAAATCTCTGAATTTAATTGTTTTTTATAATCCCTCCTTTCTCGTACTCGTGCCGGTCCTATTAAATTAAAATTGTGTTATTGTTGCGATGAAAAAAATCTGTTTTAGTGCCGTAAAACATATTTAAGTTTTGTATGTGCGTCTCTATGATTTGTATATAATGGTGTATAACAATTTTTTTTTTCAGTGACACTTTAACGTTTGGGAAGATAACTCTACTGCCAGGAGAGGCGTTGGTGATTAAAAGTCCACCAGCTTAAAAAATTCGTTCAACATGGAAACATCTTAGTTTATACCCATTCGAACCATAATTAAATACCCTGAAATAGCAGTTTTAATGGCGTAATGATAATACCGAGAATGATAGACAATTTTCATGAAATTGCATAGACTATAATAATAGATGGGATTTCCTCTAGTGATGTACACACACGGTGTTCCAAACACACGGCAAAACTATGTATAATGTTCATGTATTTTTATATTGTAATAAATTTTAAATTTATTGGGATTTTAAAATCAAGAGAGTTTTAACCTACCCATTCGTTTTCTATGATAAAACTTAAAATTGTTGTGTTCTTTTAGTATAAGATCCCGATATACAACGACCTTCACCGAGATGCTTATTTTGGTATTTATACTTAATTTAATATGTCAATAAATATAATCCATATGGTTGCATTTCAAATTTCAGTTCAAAGGGGGAAAATTTTTTAAATTTTTTCTATAATATTTTTAATCAGGAACAAAAAACCAACCCCACAACCACCAAAAAAAAAAAAAAAAAAAAAAAAAAAAAAAAAAAAAAAAAAAAAAAAAAAAAAAAAAAAAAAAAAAAAAAAAAAACCCCCCCCCCAACCAAAACGGCCCCTAAAACGGGAGGAAGGGAAAAAAAAAAAAAAAAAAAAAAAAAAGGGGGAAATTTTTATTTTTTAAAAAAAAAAAAAAAAAAAAAAAAAAAGTGAAGAGGGAGAACAACCAGGAAATTTTTTTTTTAAAAAAAAAAAAAAAAAAAAAATTTATTAAAAAAAAATTTCCGGGGGAATTTTTTTTTTATAAGGGGTTTTTATAATTTTTTTTTTTTCCCATTAAAAATTTACAAAAAAATTATTAATTGATTAAACGCAATGTTAGATGTTATTAACATTATGAATCGAATTAACAATATGAGTAGAAAATCAAAAACAAATGAGCCCTGTATTTAACTAAATCGTAAAAAACGGTGAACGAACAATCTTTTAATTCATTTTTAAATAGATAGTAATAACATCAATGCAAAAGTTTATCAAATATTACCTTCACTAGCACAATCAAATTCGAAAATCAATCAGTGTACTACAATGTGGCTCGTTGTGATTATGTCTGTGATGCTGGCTAAGAGTGTGTCTGCAGGCTGGAATAATACAATCTACTACAAAGTATTAGTGGATTCTTTCAAGGATTCTGATAGTGATGGCTTGGGAGACCTGAAAGGTATTCTATTCGTACCTGATATATGACAAAAAAACTGGTATCTAAGCGACGCACGGTTGGACAATATTTAAGAAATTAAATAGTGAAATAATTTATGAAATCTTTTTGGTAGTTTTTGTGTTCATTCATAACAAATATACAAAAATACTATTTTCTTTATTTACCATCATTTTATAGATTATACTTGCTTATAAGGTCGTCGACTAAGAGCGTTTAAGGGATATAAAAATAACATTTTATAAATACCAGAGAAGAAATCCCTATTCGTTGCTTTTCAATTCGCCATAAAATTAATACAGATTTATTATTAATCCAAAGCCAGTAAAATATTTATAGGTTTCTTTATTGGTGGTGGTAAAAATTAAGATTAAAAAAAAATAGATTATAAAATATCTGAAAGAATTTGCGAAACATTCTTGTATAAGCCTTATGATACTTCACTTATAATAAAATCTCAATGAAGTCGCATTCAAAATCTTTATATTTATGTTTAGGCGCAACAAAACAGTTAAGTTATATTCGAGCGGTAGGAGCTGATGCTGTTATTTTATCTCCAATTAACGCCAAGAGCCCTGACTGTGACCACCCAGGTACTGTAAGTTTCACCGAAATTGACCAACGCTATGGTAATGAAGACACATTAAAAAAATTAATTGAAAAATCTCGAAAATTAGGTAAGTAACTGTGTTTTGTTTTAAGAATAGTTAGAAATTTAATTTTACGAACAATGCGAAAAATTAATTGCTATAATGAAATAATAACGATAGATTCTGTATGGGAAATATGGAGGCTATATTTGCGATGAAACTGAGGCTCATAAATGCATCGGTCAAATAGAGAACGTCTCGATTTTTGTGAGCAGTCCAAATCTAAGTATCGTATTGTATCGTATTTTACTACTATTAATACTTGACGAAACTAACGTAGTTAAATACGTTTTTGGTTCGTTACCTTAAGTACATCCTAAATGAATAAACATATGTATAATTTTGAAATATACTTGCACAGTATCGACGTGAGCATTTACTTTTGTTAAAAGCTGGTAGCTGAATAAAAGTATAATTCGAAATTTGAATGTGAATGAAAAAATGAAATGAAATTCCAAGATGAAAATTGCAAATTTTTCAGATCTTAAGGTGTTAATAAGTGTAGACGTGCGCAGTATTAGTACTTTATCAGAATGGTTCAACCTTAGCGCTGCAAGGACTTTAGGCTATGAGGATTGGGTTATATGGCGAGACACACCAGCCGACCCAACTGTGATTGTTTTAAGTATTCATACTATTTTTAAGCCAGACAGATCTCCTTTATTGTAAAGCGGTCTTTTTGTCTTTGTACTGCAATTAAAATATCTAATTATATGGATTGTCTGCTAACAAAAAATAAAACACGAGAAGTTCGATTTTGATTTTTTGTAATAATTATTACATAAGTAAAATTGAATTTTATTAAGTGTAAATAAATAAATAAGATTCCGTTATCGTTTAATAGATTGATGGCGTAGAATGGTTGTGGAATGACATCAGAAACTCTTATTATGCTTCTATTAGTAACGAAACTCAACTAAACCTCTGCTCAGACGGTGTAACGGAAGCTTTTAGGAGAGCTCAATGTATTTGGCTTCAGCGAGGCTTTGCGGGACTTGTACTCAGTCCCGATTTCACCATTAATCATGAATGTGGAGTCAAATTCGTACAAAAAATGGCTACATACGCACTCAGTTGTACCAGAGCCGCTAATATTGAGAAGCCGTAAGAATTTAACAATAATGTTAATTAAACTCAAATATATTTTAAACTAATTAAAATATTCAGACAGTAAATGACAAACAATTTTCAGATGTACTTAATAAAAGCTTTTAAAATACGAATGCTTAATTCAACTGCATACCATTAATTATTAATTTATTTCCAGAATAACTTTAGCTGATACAGCGTTCGAAATAGAAAACGCCGCAAGGTACTACGGTGATAGTGTCACTGTAATAAGTAATGCCTTAACTGGCCCGGTGAGAACATCGCCATCTTTGGCTGTAGCTTTACATACTGAGCTCGTGTACTGCCCACAAGATATGACCCCCACGTGGCGCGTGAGTTCCTTGTTCTTGTCAGTTTTAATCTAGCATAAGCCTCCGAAATATAGCCATGTTGTTCGGGGAATATGTTCGTTGTTTGGACGTTGGATATTTTACAACACGATATATACGTTTTAAGATATATACTTTGCTTATCAAAAAGAAAGCCCACTTATAAATAAAATAAAACATTGTCTTCAACATAAGAATTTCCATAACGCATGTTCTTTCAGACTTCCAGTTCGGAAAGTCGAATTGCCTCGCGCTATGGCAGCGAGTTCGTAGATGCAATCAATATAATATCTTTATTCTTACCTGGAGCTACCATTATACAACAAGGTGATGAACTCGGTGCCGCTGATACGTTATTGGAATGGGCAACTACGAATAAATGTTGGCCTACAATAGCCGCGCCTTTTGCTGCACCCTTCCCGTGGGATGATTCCCCAACAGCAGGGTTTACAAGTGGTGAAAGCTGGCTACCACTAGCACCAAACTATAGATATGCGAATGCTAAAACAGAATTTGCAAACGAACAAAGTCACTTTGGAGTTGTGAGAGCTGTAGCTGCACTTAGAAAATCGCCAGCTTTTGGTCCACACTATGAAGTAAGTAATTTGTTTAATATTTTCTTTGGCCGATTCGCAAACATTTGGCCATCGCAGGTTTTGATTACCTAACGTATATACATAAAAATTTTGTTACAGAATATTATTCTTATTAATGAATACGAAAATTGGTTAGTTAACATTTCTTAATTTTTAGTTTTGTGGTCTAGTATTGTATGGACCCATTTAAGGTAAAAGCCTCCTCCATATTTTTCCATTTCCCTTTTTTTCTGAATTTTCTCAACGTATTGTTCAGATCTAATTATATTGTTTTGGATGATTTGATTACGTTGAAAGTGCATAATTTCAATTGTTGTTCTTCGTTTTTCATATGTAATCGAGGGTGGTTGCAGTATATTATATCGAGTATAATAATTGTGAGCAGTGTTGGCCTGACGGCTTCAGCGTGCGTCTCTCATCCCTGAGGTCGTAGGTTCGATCCCCGGCTGTGCGCCACTGAACTTTCTTTCTAAGTGCGCATTAAACATTCGCTAGAACGGTGAAGGAAAACATCGTGAGGAAGCCGGCTTGCCTTAGACCCAAAAAGTCAACGTGCGTCAGGCATAGAAGGCTGATCACCTACTTGCCTATTAGTTTAACAAATGATCATGAAACAGATACAGCCGTCTGAGGCCCAGAGATTTTTTATAATTATTGTAAAGTTGTTTTTTTATAGAACAGGAGGAGGAGGCTCATCTGATGTGCCCATGGACACTCGCAAATGCCTTCCCGGCCTTTTAAGAATTCGTACACTGTTTTCTTGAAGGACCCTAAATCATATTAGTTTGGAAATACCATGACGGGCAGCTGATCCACATTGCGGTAGTTCGCGGCAAAAAATACCTTAAAACGCTCATTTGTGAAACGACGGACGTCGAGGTGATATATAGATAGAAGGTAGAAAGGAAGAAAGGAAGAAAGGCAGCGAGGCCCAACATCTTTACGCAACGCCAAGGTTCAAGCCGCTTGGAAATTGAAGTGCGGGAATATTAGACATGTTCAAATAAATAATAAGTAATTAATACGACATAGGTAGATATAGAAATAACGCGATTTATTTATTCCAGATAAAACGTATTGAGGACGCTCTTGTTATTCTAAGATG